TAGGGAGAATATTAGTGATGAGCCAAGTATTTGTTATAAACCAAGTAACACGTTAACATATTGGTAAGGAATATCCCGACCGGCATTATTTTACCCCGGCTGGTTTGCCTTTGTCTTTTTCTTCTTGTCTTTGCAGGTAACAGGTCGGGCTTCTTGTGAGGAACCCGGTCAGGATCCGACCGGGAGTTGCCCGAGCGGTAGTGTCGATCACTGAGCGGTAGCCCTTTGGCGCGAGAGCTGGCAAAGGACACGTGGCGGTTCCTTGCGATGACAGACAGGGCACCCGAGAGGATGATACGTGGTGGCTACGTGGAGAGCATGCCGAACGACCGGATTTGTGTCTCCGGCGCAGCGGCTATAAATACCCATAGTGGCTACAGTGTGAGGGACTTTTGGACGATCGATAGGTTGTTGTTAGAGAATCCCGACCGCAGTCAGTCGGTACTCAGAGCAACCAAGTAGATTGTACTTAGGGCCTTCACCGTGATCAATAAAGATATTTACTTGCTTTATTTGGTCTCGTGTTTGTTTAATTATTACTTACGTAGTAATTAGTAGTATCACATATATTGAAATTTATCAAATTAAAAAATGTGTTTTGACTCAAGTAAAAATTTAAAATAATAGTGAGACATTGTATATTCAAAGGAAAAGTTTATGATCTCAATTAGCAGGGGCGTCTATTGATTGTACAAGGTACAAGCAAACAAGTTTTGAGAAGAGTTTCAGGTTTGTATCGTCTCAAAGTCTTTTAATCCCCATTCACTTTAAATTAGTGGTACTAAGTACAACAAGGTAGAGACACCGATACTTGATCAACACTTTAAATTGTTTTAATTTTTTTTAAATTTATATGGAGTATATATTATGCTCCATAATAATAACAATAATCTGATTAAGGGGCTCCATAATAATAACAATAATCTGATTAAGGGGCCACCCAAATGGAGGGAGGACTGTGGAACAGATGGGGAGGGACAGGATAATGATGTTGGTAGACAAACCTAGAGATGAACATGTAAAAAAGATAGATATCGAAATTGAAAACGAAAACGGAAGGGCTGACGTTATTGGAGGCTTGGAGCGCTTTTAACTTCTTAGCCCACTCCGCTCTGTTTTTTTTTTTCGATATACTCAGAATTTTTACTAGGGCTGGACACTTGAGTTTCGGTTTGATTTTTTCCGGTTTCGGTTTTTCGGTTTTAAAAAAATTAAACCATTCGGTTTAAAATAGAGTTCGGTTTCGGTTTCGATTCGGTTTTGGTGAAAGTCTATTATTTGAACGTTTCTTTTTTTGCCTGACCGATTGTTCAGTTGGCTCACTTGGAGTGCCACTTGAAGCGTTTTGTTGATGACAAGATGAAGAATCATTCATCTATAGTTAATATTTGAAAAATAAAAATTATTAAAACACCACATGTTGGGACTTACAACTTGGAGTTGAGATTTGAGGACTTGAGTAGTTAAAATTATTAATTATTATAATATTTATATATAATACTAACATTTTGTACGTGTGATGCACGAAAATTTATGTCCAACATTAAAAAATTGATAAATGTAAATAATTACAAATTATAGTTCAAATTATATTTCGTAATTCCTTAAAGTAGTAAATTTTAATCATCGTATTTGAAAATTATAGAGATGAACAAAATTTATATTTTACTATTCATAGAAATTTAATTAAAATATAATCAACAATTAAAGTAATTATATGATGATTTTAATAAAATGATAATTAAAGAATAGAAAAAAGATATCATAGTTATATATATATATATATATATATATATATATATATATATATGTGTGTGTGTGTGTGTGTGTGTGTGTGTGTGTGTGTGTGTGTGTGTGTGTGTGTGTGTGTGTGTGTGTGTGTGTGTGTGTGTGTGTGTGTGTGTGTGTGTGTGTGTGTGTGTGTGTGTGTGTGTGTGTGTGATAATAATGATAGAATTATGAAACTTTTAGAATTAAATAACAACGGTGTAATAACAGTATAATAGTATCTTAGTTTAACAAGAATGTAGTACGGACAATTTTATTCATTATATTTGAAGTGTGCAACATTTATTGAAAAATGTATACCTTTATTATCATACAAATGTGAATATAGATATGAATGTGGCTATAGCTTAGTGAGTAAAGCTCTTAGTTTATAACCAAATGAGTAAGGGTTCAAACTTCACCTTAAACATTTAATATAATATATATGCATTATTAATAATAATAATAAAAAAAGAGTAGAAAATCGATCGGTTTTCCGGTTCAGATTTAATCCGAACCGATCGATTTTCTCAAACCAAGTACTGATCAATTTTTCGGTTTGAAGCTGAACCGAACCGGTTCGAATAAACTAAAAATCGAAATGCCCAGCCCTAATTTTTACCATCAAAGAGAGTAACTAATTAACTAATTTCCTTCGCTCCTTAATCTTGCCTAAATGAACTTCATTTTCTAGAATAGTAGAGGCCAAAACAACTCGTTGTGAGATGAGAGAACCAAACCTTTTTATTTCCCTATAACAACTCGTTGTGAGATGAGAGAACCCAATCTTTTTATTTCCCTATTTGAGTATATTTATTTATGGTTTTATCAGACAAAAAATCACAATGAAATAAACCAACTTAGGTTACTCATAAGTCATAATTAACCGGCTCAAACTAAGAAGGTTAATAAGTCGCTTCTATTGAGAGTCGAACTTGTAACTTTTAATTACCATACATATATGTTTTATTTAACTTTATTTATTCTTTTTTTTTTTTTTTTGAATGCTAACTTTATTTATTCAATTACGAAGTATTTTATTTTATTTTTAAGAAAATGTATCAAATAGACTACTGAATTTATCATTTTTGTGCAATTAGTTCATTGAACTTAAAAAGTGTGCAATTAAACCATCAAACAATAAAAAATTATGCAATTAAGATATACCATAAAAGTAATATATATCATCATATTCGATCTACTATTTTTTTTTTTAATATCTCAATTGCACATATTTTATTTGTTTGATGGTTTGATTATACACTTTTTTTTTTTTTTAATTCAATATCTCAACTGTACAAAAGTAATAAATTCAGTGGTCTATTCAATTAACATTTTCGTTTTATGATTGTTTAGAAAACAAGTTATAATCCAAATTAGGTGTGGATGAATGGATGATGGCTGGGTTTTATCTTAGCTTCTTTAAGGGAAAATCATATCATCCTTTCATCCTTCCTCTTTAGTTGAGGGAGGGATCAATTTAGCTATTATCCTAATAATAATAATAATAATAATAATAATAATAATAATAATAATAATAATGATATATTGAAATCGATTTTAGTCTTGTAAAGAAATCTCTTACTATATATATAATATGTTGAAGTTATACATTCAATTTATTCATTTTTACACATAATATATATGCGAATTCAAGAATATAAGATTTTGATAAATTGACCTATTAAATCAATTCAGATACAAAGAACAAATTAAACTCATCCCAATATTAATATAAGTATACACAATAGAACAACCCAAACTCAAAATACCTTAGACATTGGCCTTATTTAACAATTAGCTGATAGCATTTAGTGGATTATGTTAGTGGTTTGTAAAGAAATGCTTGGTAAAGTAATATGTTTACTATTAGTTGATAACAAGTAAAAGGTATAAAAGGACATTAATAATAATAATAATAATAAACAAAATGACGTGAGATCATTTTTGATCCCACATCGGAAGTGGAATAATGAAGGGGTGTTGAGCCCCATCTATAAAAGGAATCGGAGCTCAACGCACCTTCACTTTCACCTCTTGCACGTCCTACATCGGATGAGCAAGAGAAGTGGAACTTGGGGCTCCTCCTTTAATACACATAGTAAATTTTTATTTTATTTTATTTTTAATGGAGGACATTTTGGGGGAAGATAAATCCTTTTCCAGAATGCTAACAAAGCAGCGTTTGAGATTTCAAATGTTTAGAGCAAATTCACTACTCCAAATCGCTAAGTTACCAAACAAATATTTCGGTGCGGATCTACCATTTACCAAACAAGGCCATTGTGTGCAAAGAATCACATATCATTGCCATTGATGACAAAGATTAAGGGAAACTAAAATGATGCCAAAAGAAGAAGAAGTTATTCTCTATCCAAAGAAACAAGTCTGGATGCTACTCACAAATTTACAAGTGTGCTTAGACTTTCTAATGGTGGATCCCTCATGATGGTTTTTTTGACGGCCTATTTGTACCCAAAGGCGTTTCTTGTCAATATTTCAAGCATTCAAACATCAAAATAACAGTTTTTCAAGCATTCCATTCAAAAGGAAAAAAAAATAAAAAAATCCAATTTTATTAAATACAAATAATTAATTAAAGCTTCAAACAAATTTGAATTACAATTCTTCATTTATCTCCACTGTAGTGTGATATTGATTTTGTGAATGTGACGCAATGAAAAATAACACATATGACTTGAAGAGTGAATAAGGTAGAAAGTAGAAAACGAAAAAAGAGAAACCTAAAACCTATACTAAATGTAGAAAAAATAAAAAATAATTATAACTTTAGATTTCAGTTACACTGATCGTAGGGCACTCAACATTGGTACTAGGCTTTAGTCTATACTATAAAGTATAATACACACATACAAAATGATAGTGGATTATTCTTTTTAATGAAAGGACCACGTCAGGTCGAAATTCAAAATTCAGAGGATCACGAGTGATCGATTTGAAAGTTTGAATTAACTTCTTATAAAAATAAACAAATGGGAAAGAAAATGTAAAAAAAAAAAAAAAGATAAAATTAAAATAATAAGATTAAACACGACAATATTACAATAGTCGATGATATAATTACTCTTTTAAAAAATTACACTATAAATTTATAGTAAGTGAATTTATTGTGTCATTTCTTCTCAAATTTTAAAGTATTATCATTCAAGGGTAAATTTGTAACATGACTGACATTCTTTTTTTAGCTTTCATTTTCTCGATCCCATCATTCAAATTATATTCAACATAAACAGTAATCCCTGTGAAAGCCTGTGAAGATCAAAGGCGCAGAATTCTCACCGGCGGATGCACTGTGCTTTGTGCTCTCTTCCCAATTCCCAAGAAAAACTCACTATATGTATCAGCACAAACTCCATTAAAACTCTGACGTCATCCTCCTGCTCCTCCTCCTCGCATCGTTCACTTTCCCCTACACCCTCAAACCCGCCGATCCACCCACCGCCCATCGCCGTCGGTGGACGGGCCGGATTTCTAAACCCTCGGAAATCCGGAGCCCTTCATGATTCGATAGCGTGGATCTAAGCTCTTAGAATTTTTAATTGGATTCCGCTTCGGAAATGGCTGCTCCGAATATGGATCAATTCGAGGCGTATTTTCGGAGAGCTGATTTGGATCAGGACGGCCGGATCAGTGGTGCCGAGGCTGTTTCCTTCTTCCAAGGCTCCAATTTACCGAAACAAGTGCTTGCTCAGGTTCCTACTATAGATCCCTTATTTCGACTCGCACGCACATGAAATTTTGTTAGAATATTTAGTTGAAGTTGTGGCTATTTAGTTGAAGTTCTAGAATTATGATAAGCTAAATGATGCGCATGAAGTTTGATAATGTATCAGTATACTGCGTGCTTCTTTTCTATGCCTACTTGTTGAATTTTAATTCCTAAGTCTGGCTAAAATGTTCGGAGAGATTGATGAAGGTGGAAAATGGTAAATTGATATTATGCTACCTATGTGGACGATTCCAAAGCATAGACATTGGAGCTCGGAAATCAGAGAGAATTTTGAGCTTTAGAAGACAGAATTATTTTCACTCAGAAGCCCACTTTTAATTATAGACAATACTAATGGGCAATGGCTAAAACTTTAAGGATACTAAATCATTATCAGCTACATGAGATGATAAATATATAATTGTAATTATAATCCATAGAATATGTAATATGATTACACACTTGCTACAACCTAGGGAGTTTTATATAGGCTCACAATACTAACATGGCTAGAACTAGAAGAATAGTAAAGCATTATCAACTAACATGAGATGATAAATATATTATTATAATCTAGAGAATATCTAATATCATAGCATTGGAGGGTTTAGATAAACTCTTTTTGTACTCGTAAGTTAATATGTCAAGTGATTTGGGAAGAGGAGGGGAAAAAACCGAAATCTTGTGGTTTGGGCTGTTTGCACTGGGAGTGGGAGAGTTATATGGATATTCAGTTTCCACACTAAAGAGCTAGCAAGCTAGGTTAATGTCAAGAGTAACTAAATTCTGGTGTTGTGTTCTTGACATGCCCTTTTCTTTTTCCTCTTTATGTAATCAATTATATTGGATTTTTAAAACTAAAATACCAATATGGCTTTTGTGCAGATATGGATGTATGCTGATCAAAGTCAAACAGGATTCCTAAGTCGTCAAGAATTTTATAATGCTTTAAAACTAGTTACTGTGGCTCAAAGTAAACGAGAATTGACTCCAGATATCGTTAAGGCTGCTTTGTTTGGTCCAGCTTCAGCGAAAATTCCACCGCCCCAGATAAACCTTGCAGCCATACCAGGCCCTCAACCAAATAATATGTCAAATTCTCCAGTTCCTTCAGTTGGTGCTGGTGTTCCAGCAGCAGGTCCAAGTAGTGGAACCAGAGGTCCTCAGGTCTTTCAACCTCAACAAAGTCAGGTTGCAAGGTCTCCTCGACCACCTGCTCCTAGCACTACTTTCCAGTCTCATCCGGCTGTTTCAGGTCCAGGTGTGCCAGTGGGATCCACTATGACTTCTTCAAATTCTCCTATTTCCCCTGATATGAATGGTGGTAGGACTAGTGGCTCCCAACCAGTGGTAACACCCCAATTGTCTTACAGAGGTATCAGTCCTAAGAGTCATGATGGATTTGGTCTTGTTGCCTCTGGATCAACCCCTCCACAATCAAAATCACAAGATGCTGCTTTACTGGGTCACCATCCTCCAGCTAAGGACTCTATAACTCATCAAGCTACAGGAAATGGATTGGCTTCGGACTCTCTTTTTGGAGATGTTTTCTCTGCGACATCTATCCAGCCAAACCAAGCTTCTAAGCCACCTAAATCTTCTGCTAGTAGTGTATCAATCTCATCATCTCCAAACCCTGTATCTTCTGGTTCTCAACAAAAGGTTAAGTCTAACTCAGTTGATTCTTTGCAAAACATGCACTCTAAGCAACCAGCAGGTTATCAGCAAACTCAATCAAGTGTGAAACAATACCAACATGTCCCGGTGCAAACTTCCAATGCAATTCCTGGTGGAGCTGGAAATACCGCTTCTAGCCAGTCACAGCTTCCTTGGCCAAGAATGACCCAGGCTGATGTTCAGAAGTATAGTAAAGTCTTTGTAGCAGTAGACACAGACAGGGATGGAAAAATCACGGGTGAACAAGCACGCAACTTGTTTTTGAGCTGGAGACTGCCTCGAGGTGCATTGTACTTCACTTCTCTAATTTTCAAGTGAATTCCTGTTTTTTGTTTTTGTTTTTGTTTTTGTTTTTTGTTTTTTAATTTATTGCTTGGAAGGTCTATAATTGGTTTGTGATGGTGACAAGCCTCTGTTGAGAAGGTATAAATGTGGCTGATATAGTCCTATTTGACCTACTAGCTGCTGTTTTAATTTTTCATTCACTAAATTAAAAATGAAAATTATTAAAAGAAAAAAGTAACTGGTCATACTGAACCTCTAATGCTCTGAATGATTAGAGGGTAGTTATGTGGTTGGAATGAGGACAATGGAAGCATAAATATAACATCATATGTAGGCTAGATTGATGCTGTTCTCTAACTTAAGCATACAGACGCAAGAATTTTTTTTACTTTTAAAGGAGTTTGACTATTTCATACATTTTACATTCTATTGGCACTTTCAGTTAATTTGGTGAATATGAAAATTGTTGTCCTACATACCTTGTTTTCTTTGGCAAGAAGTTGTATTGTTTTGATCAATTAAGTCAATTCAATGTCTTCCTCACCTATCCTTGCCCTATCCCATTTCAACTCAACTCAAACCATCCTTAATGCTAATCAAGTTGAGGTCGGTCAATTGGCTTATTTCTCCATTCAACTGTAATATACTGAATCTGTTGTTATCTATTAAGCTGGCTTATATTATTTCTTAATTACTTGAGTCCATGTATGTTTGGGTCTGTCTCTTTTTCACTATTCTCTCTATCTTTTACACTCTTTCTAATATGTGCTGGCATAGTTGAACATGTCTAAATCAATTTAATTAGTTCTCTCAATTTTCCACAGTAAGCGTAAATTCTGTCTTACCTTAGACAAAGTTATTCCTAATTTTATTACTTGTATTCATGCATACATCCAAATCACAACCATCTTGCCCTGCACATGCTACCATAATGCATAGTTGACCTGATGGCTGTTCAGTAGAACTTTTCCTGAATTTTATGGCCAAAGAGAATGCTTGCCACACATTTTTCACCTCTTTCAACTGGCATTAATTCTATGATTAACATCATTATCTTGATTTCTTTCCTTCTTATAATAGAACCAGCAAATAAGAAATGTGTAAACTCAGGCAGGTTCATTTCCTCCCAGGCAATAATGCATTTTCCCTTATATCTAATGGTTCTGAAATAGCAGAGCAAATGATAAGTTTTAAGTATACTGAATTTCCACCTCTAATCCTGACTGTCAGTCTGCATAATTTTAGAAAATGATTTCACACTCACTGCCGGTAGTAACACTAGTGTACGCTCTTGTGAATCTTGTGTAAGCATTCTTAGATGTACTTTTTTGCCTTCTGAGTTTACATGGTTCATCCTAGAGTCTGGATCTAATGCAGTGCCTTCTGGATTTTTCAGAGATTTTGCGGCAGGTATGGGACTTATCTGATCAAGATAATGACAGCATGCTTTCTCTGAGGGAATTTTGTATTGCTCTCTACTTGATGGAACGATACAGGGAAGGTCGCCCTCCTCCTCCAGTCCTACCAACTAGTATTATGCTTGATGAAGCAATGGCTGCTTCTGGTCAACCTACTGCAGTACATTCTGGAGCAGCTTGGAGACATACTCCAGGTATGTACTTTTTGTTTCTCCCTTTTATTGCATGCACAAACTCTTTGCATCTCCAATACTGCAATGTACTTCATGACCTATTTCTTCTTTACCAGGTATACCACAACCACAGGGAACAAAAGGTACACATCAAGCAGCTCCTGGTTCATTTGGGAGGCCACCTCGTCCAGTTCCAATTTCTCAGCCTGATGAAGCTAGGCAACCTACTCAACAAAAGCCTAAACCTAAAGTTCCGGTGCTTGAGAAGCATCTTGTTGATCAACTTAGTTCAGAAGAACAAGATTCTCTGAATTCAAAGTTCCAGGAAGCAAGTGAAGCAGAAAAGAAGGTAATGCATGCAACTTCTTTTGTTCTCTGTAGAGTTTTGCAATCTCTCTCTCTTTTTTTTTTTTTTTTTTTTTTTTTTTTGGGTTCTAAAACTACTACATACTTGAGTTCTTGGATTAGTGGAGACTATTTGGCTTTGTGGAGGTGTGAATGTATCTTAATATCATGTGAAAGACAATGTTGACTTGGGGGGAACTGTGGGCAACACATACACATGCAGATTGCACTAATTGCCTTTGATTGTGTAATGTTTATGACTATTATTTGTGTATGATGTTAAACCTAACCATAATTGTCAAATGCTATAGTTTGTCTGCAAAAAATAAAATAATTGATACGATTATTGGTATGTTATGTTATTTTTCCATCTTCAAACCGGTAATTTCTTCAGACTGTAAATCATGTAAACATCAATAGCTAAAAAAATTTGTTTTTCTATTGTAGGTATCATTACCCTTTTCCCTTTTGTTTGAAAGTTATCCAAATCTAGAATTATTTTAATTTTTTTTTTCCTGGGCAATCATAGAAAAATATGCTTCATTATGTGCTTTTTATGTCATATTTATGGCAAGGGTAATATGTAAAATAGAATGTTAATGTAATGCAAGAAGGACGGAGTGGTTATTTCTGTATATGTGAACTTGTTCTGGTTGTTGCTTTCATTGCTGAAGTGATGCAAAGAGCATACATAATATACTTTTAATGTGAATTACACAGGTTGCAGAACTGGAGAAGGAAATAATGGATGCAAAGGAAAAAATTCAGTTCTTTCATGCAAAGATGCAAGAGCTTGTGAGTACCTCTGAGCTTCACTCCCTTCATCCCTTTCCACTTAAATTTACTTGCAAAAGTTCACCCATTACCCATACTTGTGCGGGGTTGGATGAAGGAGTGTATTATTATTGCTAGCTCTTTAACCACTCCACTCATATGGTGTGTGATGTTCATTTGATTTGTCTGATAACCTAACCTTTTCAAGACCATTGTTTTTGTCAATGTCAAATAGTTTACTGCATGGTTTTATGTTCTGTTTTCAATGCTAAGATATGTAGTTTTCCATTAACCATGTACTGATGTACTAGGAAATCAATAAATTGTTAGAAGGACAACATATTATTTTCAGTTTTGTGACTTTTGTCCATCAATAGATTATTTTTCAATAATCTCTACCTGAATAGGCTAGTTTTCAATTTGATAATGATTCCCTGGTTTAGGTTGGATTTGAGTTTGAAACCAATTTATCATGAGAGTATTTGGTTGTTACGTGGCCTCTTATCCTATAGCAGATTATTGTACCCTTAAGGGCTCCTGGTCTTGTCTTTCAATAAGTTGTTTAAATTCATAGCATTTATTTGCAATGTAAATTTGTTGCTGAAATTGAGTGCTCTAGATTTGGATTTTCCCTGTTCTAGCTGGAGTGTCAGATTGTCCAGGGAAGATAGACACTTATGCTTGATGTAAATTTTTGCCAAGCGGTTATAGATCCTGTAATGACCATGCTTTACTCTACTTCTGTCCTGATATATTTTTAGTAATTTTGAACAACATTTGTTTTTTGAAATGCCCCTCTTTCTCTCTCTCTCTCTCTGGAACAAATCCACTCACATGCTGATCACTTTCTTCTTGACATATTAGACTCTGAATATATTTTCCCAGATGGACTTAATTAAGGCAAAGATTGTGATATCTGATTCTTTAAAATCAAGATAGCCCCACAGTATCATTATTTCACAATCAGAGTTCTTGTAATAATTAATAAATGAAACATGTTATCTATAGAAATGTTTTTGGGTGATGTTTCTTTTGGTTTGAGGAATTAATGTCTAAAAGTGGGTTGCATTATTGACACAGCCTGCTTTTTGTACATGATATGTTTCTATCAGATTTTATATAAAAGCCGATGTGACAATAGACTAAATGAGATCACTGAAAGGACTTCTGCTGACAAAAAAGAGGTAACTTTCAACCTCACTGATTCTCATATGCACTTCCTTGTAAATAAATGATCTCATTGAAGAAAGTTGTATTACAGGTTGAATTATTTGCAAAGAAATATGAAGAGAAGTACAAACAGACTGGAGATGTAGCATCTAAGTTGACAATTCAGGAGGCCACTTTTCGTGATATTCAGGTAATTTCACAGCTTCCACTGCTAATTTAAAATGGAAGCTCAATTTCTTGGCCTTCTATTGGGTAGTGTTTTGATTTTGACAAAGTTTGTCTGATTACATGGTAAAGTCCATCTCATAATGTTCTGTTGCTCTTGAAGGAGAAAAAGATGGATCTTTATCAAGCAATTGTCAAAATGGATCAAGATGGAAATGCTGATAGTACTAAGGTAGGTTTTACCAGCTACTTCATCCATGGCATATGTGAAACCTCTCTAAGCTTGATGTCTTTTTTTTTTTTTTTTTTTTTTTCATAGGATTGTGCAAATCACATTCAAAAGGATCTTGAGGAGCTTATAAAATCATTGAATGAACGTTGCAAAACTTATGGTCTGCGTGCCAAACCAACTTCACTGCTGGAGCTGCCATTTGGTATGTGTTTGTATTGCTTAAACTTTGGGGCTTTCTTATTTGGATTTTTTTCCTTAGGTGGTCCCTATTTGTTTTGAGTTTTGACACTTCGACACTTCAACCACATAGCTTCAAAAGTGGCTACATGATCTGTCAATTCTGCAAGACATTAACCACTGAGAGTTCTTTTGTTAATGATATAATTAAGTGTTTCACAAAGGGACTAGTAGTGACCAACATTGCTTAGTTCAGGGAGACTACTAGTAGAAGACAAACTTAACCACTATTAATCCTTGAACTATATAAAGTAAGCCATTGTAGAAAATGGCTAGGCCCAACAAAGGCCAACATACATCTTCAGGGCTAATTTATAAATTTTACTACAACTTTTTCTGTGTGGACAGCAGACGTCAAGTTATTTATTTTGAACTTGTTATGAAAAGGTTACTTAGTATTTTCTTTCTCCCCCCTCCTTAGTTTTCATCAATCGTTTATCATGAGCTAATTATTTACTTTCTTTTGCATACCATGTTTCCTATAATTGGTCTCACACATGATCTGTGTATCAGTCAATGCTTTGATAGTTCACAGTCTACTACGGATAAATTTCATAATGTCATATTTATAAAAAATTTCCATTTGGTGTATCTCTTTCTCTGGTTGATACCTCTGCTATAATGATGGTTCTCTAATACTGATAATTTGTTAAAAGGTTGGCAACCTGGCATCCAAGAAGGAGCTGCAGATTGGGATGGCGACTGGGATAAGTTTGAAGATGAAGGTACAATGAAAATTCACTTCTAGGTCCATGAAAGGGACATTCAATTCCTTTTATTAATATCACCAACCTTCCTTCTTTGTTCCCCTTATTCTTGTTGGTGGTTAATTTATAGCTGTGTTCCAACCTTTGTGGGCTTCACAGGTTTCACATCTGTGAAAGAACTCACCCTTGATGTGCAAAATGTCATAGCTCCATCTAAGACAAAATCTTCCCTAATTCGGGAGAAAGTATCTTCTGGAGATGCCAGAGAGACAGGAAAATCACGCTTGGATGATGTTGGGGCTGAGAATTTGTCAAGCCCGGTAAAAAGTACAGTGGTGGATGAAGTGACATCTGTCCATAGTGATGACCAAAGAGCAAGAAGTCCTCCTGAAAGTCCGTCAAAGCGCAATGCATTTGATAGCCCCTCTAAGGAACTGCGTGAATTTCAACCTAGGAAGGAATTCAATTTTGATGGTTCACCCCATGCAATGCAAGGGTAATGTGGCTGTTTTGTTGTTCTCTCTGTTGATGTCTTTTATATTTGTCTTCATTAAGCAAAAGGGTAACAGAAGTTTCAATATCATCGATTCATTTCTTGAGTTGTAGTCAAACTCATAGGCATTCTTCTCAGAAACCTGAACTTTGTTTTTGATTCACTAGTGCAGTGACCATGGGGGTGCTGAATCCATGTTCTCCAGTGACAAAGGTTTTGATGGATCAGGTTGGGGTACATTTGACACAAACTATGATTCAGATGCTGCATGGGACTTCAATCCTGTTGCTAGTAAGGTACGTGTAAATGTGTTCCGTGTAGCTGAAGATTGTGAGGCAAAAATATCCTGTATGTTCAAAGATCTTGTGTGGTCCTGGTATATACATGTTTATACTGTATAGGTTTGGTCTGAAGTAGCAATATATTATTTTAAATCCTTTAGTTCTCTTGTTCTTGTTTGGGAGATTGGAAGACTGCATTCTAGGTCTGCAGGGGGGACAGTATACTTGTATATTCACTTCATTTTTTTTTCTTTGTAGAACGCTGATAATGAGAGACAGAAGGAGGATCCTTTATTTGGTTTCGATGATTGGGGTCTTGCTCCTATAAAAACTGGATCCAAATTTGCAGTCGACACAGTTCCCAAGCAGGGTCCATCTTTTGACTCTGTTCCTAGTACCCCAAGTTACAATACAGGTGCTGCACCGGCAGGTGATGTATTACCAAAACAAAGCCTATTCTTTGATTCGGTTCCTAGTACTCCAAGTTACAATGCCCCCACACAAGCTGGAGACAAGTTTTCAAAACAAATGCCATTCTTTGATTCTGTTCCTAGTACTCCAAGTTACAATGCTGGATTCACACAAGCTGGTGACACATTCTCAAAGCAAAGCTCATTCTTTGATTCTGTTCCCAGTACTCCAAGTTACAATGCTGGATTCACACAAGCTGGTGACACATTCTCAAAGCAAGGCTCATTCTTCGATTCTGTTCCTAGTACTCCTAGTTATAACACGGGGTTCTCCTACACAGAAAATGCATACTCAAAGCAAAGTCCTTTCTTTGATTCTGTGCCAAGCACCCCTGCATATAGTTCCAACCTACACGCAGATGACATTTTTCAGAGGAAGAGCTCCTTTGCTGATTCTGTTCCAAGTACTCCAATGTATGGCTCTACCAACTCCCCAAGAAGGTTTAGTGAAGGGCCTGAAGAGTTCTCAAGAGACTTCTCTAGATTTGATTCCTTCAGCTCGCATGATGGCAGTGGCCCCTTTGCACCTGATGCATCCTTCTCGAGATTTGACTCCATGCGCAGCACCAAGGACTCTGAATATGATCACGGTTTGTTTCCACCACGTGACTCTCTAGCAAGATTTGATTCCTTCCGCAGCTCTGCAGACTCTGAATATACCTTTGGGAACCCTCCTCCCCGAGACTCATTTGCAAGGTTTGATTCCTTCCGAAGCACTAAGGACTCAGAATACAGTCATGGTTTTGCATCTTTTGATGATGCTGATCCATTTGGATCTAGTGGGCCATTTAAGTCATCATTTGAGAGCGAGACACCACGGAGAGACTCTGATAGCTGGAAAGCCTTTTAATCGTCAAACAGACTATGATGTCTTATTCTCGTGTCCTCCACACTTGTTTTTCAGCTATTGCTGCTTAGGTTTCCTCTTTGATAATAGCAAATTGGCTTTGTGAGGTAGATAGAGAAGGTGTGCAAAACTAGTTGAAGTCATGGTGGGCAGTGCCCTTTGTGTAATTTACCATCCTGGTTTGTTTTCCTTTTTTTTTTTTTTTTTTTTTTTTTTTTTTTTATTTGGGGGGCGGGGCTGAGGGGGGGTAGGGTGGAGTGGGGGGGTGGGGGGGGGGGGGTTCTTTTTTTCCTTTACTGATTAGTATTTTTTTGAAGTGAACAGACTTGTGTTCACGTATTCATTTCTTCACCACCTACGTGTATAAAAATGTGTAAAAATATTGTGCAATTTTGTGTAAGTTGCTATTGGCGAGTAAAATTTTTCTTTTTGGTAAACGTTTTAATCTCATCCAGTTCTCTTTTCATCCATTGGTTAATTTGTACGGAGTAACGCACCTACTAAGCTTTTTTATAGTATCAAATACTTGTAATGTTAATGGATTTTGATGAAAATATTTTGCATGTTTTATAGCAAGGTGGAATTAGAATGATTTTCAATATTGATGGTTAGTTATGTATAATGCAATAATGAGAATAAAGGTTCTAGAAATACAAAAATCAAAAATAAAAAAACACCAAATATAAACACACACACACAAAAAAAAAATCAAAACAGAAATTTAAAAATACTAATCCTAACTTAAAAATCAAATTACTACCATACTTGTTTTTAATTAGAGAATGATGTTTTTAATTGAATGGATAATTAAATCTCATAATTATCAATCAAACGCTAATTATGATTTTGATTTTCATTCATAATGTATAAAGTTGTAAACCCATGAACCAAACAGCGTAAAATTACATATCCTGTCCTACAACACAATTGTAACTCCATACACAGAGTTTACAGTATTTTATGCCAAGAAAAGGAGACACCTGCTTTTATACATTTCCAAATTATATTAAACATAAAATTGAAGGCAAGAAAACTGGAGCAAAAGGAGTTGTCTATTACTGTATTACTCTCTCCGATAGAGAGAGAGAGAGAGAGAGAGAGAGAGAGAGAGAGAGAGAGAGAGAGTGTGTGTGTGTGTATGTGTGCTATTAAGCATTTAAGCACTAGGTCCAAAGATAACCACCAGGGAAGACCAGGTTCCATAGACAGCAAAAACTATGCCAAAAACAATGATTACCCCATCACAAGCAAAACCAAGAACCCCCAATTCTTCCTTGTGCACAATCAGGTGAAACATTGCAGGCAACACAAATCCTAAAACCACACACACACTGCTCCCCACGAGTGACAGGAAATCGGCAAAGTTAGGCACCAACAATGCCACCAAGCTCACACCCAACACCATTCCCCATCTCACCAACAAGCTATACTTCCCTTCACACAACCTCCTCTCCATCACTTCATAAACCGGGTTCATCATTGCCGGGAATGTGAAGAACAGGTTGATGCACAGCCCGATTTGGACTATGCAGTTGAGCACCCCCTGCCCGAAATTGGTTGTGATGATCTCCTGCGTTTCTTCCCCGAATGCAAAGTACCCCAACGCCCCAAACCCACCAAACATCAATGATATGAAGGCCATTGTGAGGGCAAGGGTAGTCCCAAACTTGGATTTTTCCCTCATCTCTGATTCCAGGGGCAAAACCATTCCTATCCCTTCAAAGGCATACACTGCCACACCAAAACCATAGAAGAAGGCACTCAACCCACGAAAGGTATGCAGAACAGGCCTGTTCTGCAAATACACCAAAACATCTTCAACCATCACCACCCCCATGGCCCCCAAATCCACCACATCTGCAAAGATGCTAAGAGGGGCCAAATGGGTCAATGTAGGGATTGAATTCAACCCCAATTGGAATGGGAAACACCCCCACAGATACAGAGTCTTTGGTGAAACACCCAAGACTTTAGGGTCAGGGTTTGTGAGAGATACAGGATTGAACAGGTATGATAAAGTATTAGATATGAAAATGGTGTATCCTACACAAAACCCAGCTTGTGAGAGAACAATCATAGCATCAACAGCAAACCTCCCCACAGGCCCACACACAGCAAACCCTAAATCACCAAAAGACGAGATTTTGGGAGATTTGGGATGGGTTTCAAGCTTCCTCCTTGTGTAGACTAGAAGCATCATACAGTAATAGGTACAAAATGCCACAACGGAGAGCGTGAGAGCCCCCATGACCCATCCTGTTCGCTTGAAGGCGTAAGGGAGGCCCAGAACACCTGCCCCAACTACGGCAATGAAAATATTGGCAAATGTCTTGGTTTGGGAAGAGAGATGCTTTTGATTCCTGGAGAGGAGTGGGGTTTCTTCTCTGGGTTGGTTAAGGACATGAGACGAGGAGCTCGCTTCATCTTTCTCAACCACCATTTTTTCACTCAATTTCTCGATCCAGGACAAGGATAGTATCGACAAAACCCAGAGACTACGGATCCAAAATTACTAATAATTTAATGGAGTTAATAGAGATCAAAGGAATATGAGCAAAACAACTGAATTTCACAATTTCTTCTCATCCAAATCTGTCAGAAGAGGAGTTGCAGAGATAGGAAAGATTGCAAATTTAATCATTGGGACCCAAAACAGTTACATCTGAGAAAGTGATTTTTTTAAAAGATATTTCTGTTTATGCAAGTTAATTATCAAAAATTTAATTAATTAATTAAAATGAATAGCTGTTTTCAACAACAAATAAAAATAAAAAAATGAATAGCTCTTGTGGTTTCTTTTCATCAAATTCATTATTTCCTTTTCTGGTTCTTTTAAAAATCATCTATACTCACAATAAATAATTTATTATTTATATTAAAAATAAAAAATATTTAAATATTATAATACCATCTAATAATGACTATTTTCTTGACATATGAAAAATTAATATTGTAGTGAAACAAAAAAAAATGTAATTACAATGTTTTTTTAACATGTAAATGTTATATTAAAATTAAAATGTTAAACACATAATTATTATGCATATAATAAAATAATATTTCGCAATAATTTCAATCTTATTTTTATTTTATGTAATCTATTAACTTTATTTGAATACAAATAATTAATATATCAAATTAAATATATTATAATTTATAATTTATAATTTAATAATAATTATTAATATTTTAGTGTTATTACTTATTAAGCGACACCCAACCAATTTGACTATTACTAGGAGGGTATAAAGAATTGAATTGGGTAGTTTACCTAGTGAAATAGAAGCTAGCTTAGCATGTTTGAAATGATTCAATTATTCAAATGTTAGCATACCAAATTCCACCAAAATATACCTTTCATTCCATGCCCATCTATCAAGTCCCAACTACATTTCATCAACCCTTTACATACCCAAAATATATATATAGTCATCAAGAATTGGCATCATTCACATCATCTCAACTCACCTCAATCATTCTCTCATCTATTCACTCAAACCAATCACACAAAAAAACACAATGGCTGCTCTCAATAATGCCTTCCTTCTTTCTCTCATCATCACTCTCTCTCTCTCGACCACCAACACATGCCTTGCGTCTCGCCGCCTTTTGCAAGTGCCCGGTGGCACACTGCCGCTTCCCTCTCTGCCTCAGCCTTCATTGCCAACAATTCCCAACTTGCCAACAGCCACATTGCCACCACTCCCAACAATCCCATCTTTGAACCTCCCAACCTTGCCATCTGTTCCAAAGCTAACGATGCCTCCCTTGCCGGCTAATATTCCTCTCCCCACTTTGCCCGCCGCTGCTATCCCTTCCATTCCGGCCATTCCTACCCTCTCGCCGCCTCCATCAAACTAATATGCACCTGCAAAGACATGACTATATATATATACTGTTATTCTTAAAGCTAGCTTATATATACTTTATGGCAGTGTTGCAAAAATCGCGCCTAGGCGCTAGGTGGTCCCCAGGCTTAGAGGGCCCCTAGTGATTTTTTCAACATTGCTTTATGGCTTTTGTTTTCTGGTTCCTAGCTTGTGTGGATCTCTTTCTTTTTTGTTGGTGATTATATTGTATATGCCCTTTGATCATTTGCTGTAATTCTTCATTTCCATTACACAATACAGAGCTTCCTTCTTTTTTCTTTTTTCTTTTTTATGTGAATTGAAACATAAGAAACAATCAAGGTGTGCTTAATGAGTTTAGAACTTCCATCTGATAAAGTATAAGACCACAATTCAATGTCTATAATGTAACTATTCCAGACATAATGTTAGGCAGCGGCTTGAAGAGTTGAGTCCAGCGTCTTGTCATCGAAACGTGGCACTAACTACTACTTAGTATAAGGAAATATTAGAAAATAAAGTTGTGTTTTCGTTACTGATCTTAACACAATTAGTATCCTACCATTTAAACGCTATAACTTTTGGCATAGTAGCAAACAGACAAGTTTAGTAGTGAGGAGGAAAACCATCCAATACACAATATAATCATGAAGAGCAAAGATGCACTTTCAGCATTTATTGATATGATAAACTACACCCAAGAAGTGTTAACAATTAAGTGAAGAAAAACAATGAATTCTCTCAACTGTCCAAATGATACATAGGCTCTATTGAAGTCAAGAATGATGAATAATGGTGTGGCCACAACCCAGGGACAGCAGAAGCTCAGAAAAATCCCAAACAGTGGTAATGGCTCCATGTTCATCTATACAATATATTGGTACAAACCCATCCCTTTTTATATGCTACTCAATACACCCTTTAAGAGATCCAGTCCTTCAGCCGATATGCTCCTCCTCCTCGAGAATCTCGGGATTTCTATCCGAGGAGGCGGGTCGGGAGAGAAGCACACGATCACTACTGTCAGATTGTCGCACGTGTTGCGTTTGAGTGCCTCCCTGACCAGCTCTTTCGCGCACTTCTCGGGATCATTGTGCAGCATAAGCTCCTTCCTCACAATTGTTACCGCGCACTGGCTGCTCATCACATCCCACAACCCGTCACACCCCATAATCAAGAACTCGTCCTCCTCTGTCAAGACTACCTCTTCCAACTCTGGCTCCGCGCTTAGAGGGTACTTTGAGCCTTTCGGGCCCTTCAGATGCCAGTCACCGAGAGCTCGTGCAACTGATAGTTGGCCGTTGAGATAACCATCATAAATCACACCTCCTAGTTTTTCAATTCGCAATCTTTCAGATGCGCAATTGGGCTTGTGGTCCTTTGATAACTCAATTGCTCTGCCTCTTTTTCCTAGCACAGCTCGAGAGTCCCCAGCATTAGCAATTAGCGTTGTCCTGTGAATTGCCAGCATAACAAATTAAAACCAGCCCAAATAACCACAATCGAGAAGGATAATAGGAAAAAAAGAAATACAAAATCCACTCAATTGAGCTGAATGTATTTGGAGAGGTTGTGTTAAGAAAGCATAGAACCACCCGGCAAGGAAAAATTGATACAAGTAAAAATAGACATAGAGACCTCCATAATACACATTGTGTTTCTCAATTCCCCTTGATAGCTTACTAAAGCTAAAAACAAAGAAACATATTCCATAACCTACTCGGAGCAGAAGGCGATAAAAAGATTGTTGAGCATATAGCCATTAATGTGCAATCCAACTATCAGCTTAGTGGAAGTGGAAAGTTATGCAGCTTATTTTGGAAGATGTGTGGGTCTCAGATAGGTAAACACATCAATATCTTACCGTCCTAACATAAGTGCAGCCAGAGCAGTTGTACCAGAGGAACTATCAAGTGATTTAGCATCGGCTAGTGCATGATCAGCTTTCACAAAAGCATTCCTAATAGCTCTTTTCACGGAAGAAGGAAAATGGGAATCCTCAACAATGAAGTTAAGGAGATTTTTTTGAGCAAATGTTGCAGCATCAACACCACCGTGCCCATCAAACACCTGAAATCAAGACAAAACCTCATCAAGAAACTATAAGTCTCGAACAAATTTCAAAACTATAGGAGTGAGTGAAACTAATTTTGTATCAAATTTCAAAACATGATGTGGCAATAGAACCATTAGCAAATGGTTAGGGGGAACAGCAACAGATTTCTATTCAGTCATGTTATATGGGATTTTAATAAATGAAAATGTAGGTACATACCCCAAAAAAAGCACTAGGAGAAGGAAACTTTTGGCCAGTATTAAAATGTTTGTGAAGATCATCCACACAGATGTGCGTATCTTCCATATATGTTTTTGGTCCGATTTCAGAGCAGCTTCCCGAGCGAAATACAGGGACAATGCCAGGACTCTCAATTGGTGGAGATTTAAGACCAGTAATTTGGCTTGTCGATTCCTAGAAATTGGATTGACCAAGAAGAAGTTATAATCAGTAATTTAATATACCAAATAAATGAACACTTATTGCATTGAGTCCATACTAACAAAAGTATAGAAATTTGCATAATAAAACGGATAAGATACTAACTAGACACTATGTAACAAGAGTTCACAAATTGTTCAAAAATTAATCCATACTTCACTGCTCTTTTGGGATATAGTTAGGATCAAAAGAGACATAATGCGTTTTTAACCAGATTGAATTTATGTAAGAATTACCCGTGTAAAGCAAGCATTTCAATCATGAAACAGATGGAAGCTTTTACGTAAAGATCTCAAAGTTATCCAGTATTTTACCATGCTAGAAAACCTCTTTGTTATACGGGAACTTTTGTGATTGTCCAATCAATAACCTTTTTTCATCAATGCTATCTAAGCTCAAGATGGATTCTAGAATCATCCTGTCAAGGTCTAATGGATGAAAACTCTGATCTATTCCATTAAATGTTCCTAAAAGGAAACTAGGCTTCAACTTGGAGAATCCCATTTTAAAAAGATCCATTTCATAGCTATTATACATTTATACCTCCTAATGCCTAACAATCACTAATTTAAACATGCTCTATTGCCAACAATCAGCTTGAGAAATGGTTTAAAGACAAGGAATTTAGTCAAGAACAATGATCTTCATGTGTGTTCCAAATCATGAATAAAGCTACAAAGGGGTCAATGAAATAGGGATCCACTCACCAATTCAAAGATACCTGCCAAGGTTGCCTGACTGATACTATGTCGGATCATGAGATTCCTAGGAGGTTTCCCTGCATTTCCCTGGCCTGAAATATCAATCTGCCCCTGATTTCCATCTACATTGGATTCCATCTCATCCTTGCAAGCCTCATTCTCTGATCCCCCGACACACCGTGGCGGCGAACTACACGCTGAAGTCATTCTTCTTTCCAAACCAATTAATCCATCAAATCTCAGAATTGATGAAACGTCTTGTAAACCTTAAGCTACAAATAGCCCTCTCAACAATCCACATTCACTTGGCAAGCAATCTTAAATTGCATTTTTTAAAAAAATATAAAAAAAAAATTAAATTTGCTTCTGGGGCATTTACTCAAGCACGTGGACAGCTATACAAGTGTTCCATCGATCCTAACTCAAAGACAGCACAAGAACCGACACTTATGGGCAGGAAACTACCACCAATCTATTATGATCCCCCTCCATTCTTCCTGCTTTTGCAAAGAACCAAACGCATCCCAAGATTTAATCTTTTTCTCGATTTCAAATAAAGAGTTTAAGTAATACGGAAGGTACGCGAGAAAATACGCGTAATT